TCTCTGCTTACACCCCTGGATCTTAGCATGACTCAAAACTGTCCCAGCTTCATGATTTCAATTTCAAGCATCTCATTCTCAGACTGCTCCCCAGCTTTTGGGAGTGGCTCCCAACTCCAGCAATTTGTGGACCTCGCTGGGACCTTCAACCTGTGGATCCTGTCATCTTTCCAATATCTCACACTCGTTTATGTCCTCACCTCCCTTCTATCACAGTGCCCCATAGTAACTCCCTTGCCTACATCTTCTGCTCTCTGACCCTCTTACCCTCCCACACCCATCTGCAAAACCCCAGCCCTAGTTAAACCCAGCTCTGCTCCTTATGCTGACTGAGGCTGGAGAAAATCCACAGCCTTGCTGACTGGTCTTGCGCTAAATTCATGTCCACTAACCTCAAATGGGCACTTAACAGTGCTGCCTGGCAATTCTACCACATTTCCGTAATCCATTTGCTCTCAAACTCTCCCAGATGACTGTTTCATATCGCTCCTCTCCTTTCCAATCTCCAACACCCCTTCCACCCCCGCCACTCTCCGGAAGCAGGTTCCTTGGCAATTTCACCAAGATAAGAGAACAGTGAGAAGAGACCATCCCTGCGTTCCCACCTCTGCAGCCACCAGCCCATGTGCACCTGGGCCCATTCATCCTGCCTTCCCCCCAGTTTCTAGCTTCTGTGGCCTGGCCCCCTGGCTTTTCTGTGAATGGGTAAAGTAGACTCAGCTTTTGGGTCCTTGCACTTGCTCTTCCCTCCAGTTGGGAGGTTGGAAACCCATCCCTCAGATTGCCTGTTGTGCTTCCTGCTCTTCCCTCAGAACGTCTTGCCAGTGAGCTTTTCCCTGCCCTTACAGAAATAGCAATCTCCTTCATTCCCAATGCTTCCTTCGCTGCTTTTCCCATCAATTGTATCACACCCTGGCAAATTTGTATATTTATTTGTTATCTGTTTACCTTGATGAGAGCAGGAGTTTTTATCTGTTTGCCACCATATCCCATGCTGGAACAGTGCTTAATTCATTTATTCTCTTACTCAACATATGTTCAATGAGTACCTATTAGGAACCAGGCACTGCTTGGGCACTGAAACCATAGGAATGAACACTATAGACCAAAATTCTTGCTCTTTCGGCTAAATAAGTAGTTAGATAGTGATAAGCGAAACATCCATGGCCAAACAGGGAAAGAAGATATAAAATGGATGTGTGAGGGATTGAAGAGGGGTAGGTGAAATTTTAGATGGTGGCCAGGGTAGGGCGCATTGAGTGGCGTGAAGAGGGAGGTAAGGAGTGAGCTGTGTGGACATCCATGGGAGGGCTTTCCAGGGGATGCTATGGGTTGAATGAGTCCCCCAAGTTCATTTGTTGGAAACTTAATGTCCAATGCAACCGTGTGACTAGGTGGGACCTTAAGAGGTAATTAGGTCATGAGGGCTGTTAAATTAAGCTTAGCCTCAAGCTGACTTCTTACATATTTTAAGTTCGGCCTGAAGGTTTCTCCATATGCAGCGAACTGTAATTTAACTGGATGTACGAACGGACTGTAACCTACTCCTATCCTGGTTCTAGGTGTTGCCCGATTCGTGAATTGTTCTTTGCTCAATGACTCTGTTGAATTTCATTTGTCTAAAGTTTTTCTTTTAACAGAGCTCTGCTCTAATGAATGGATTAATGCCATGATGGGAGTGGGCTTGTTATCTCAGGAGTGGGTTCCTGATAAAGGGATGAGTTCAGCCCCCTTCTACTGTCTCCCTCACGTGCTCTCTCTCTTGCTACGGGATGCCTTCCACCAGGTTATGAAGAAGCAAGAAGGCCCTCACCAGATGCAGCCCCTTGACCTTGCACTTTCCCGGCTTCCAGAACCCTGAAGCAAATTAACTTCTATTGTTTATAAATTACCCAGTCTGTGGTATTCTGTTACAGCAACACAAAAATGAACTGTGAGAGGGAGGGAACAGCTAGCAAAGTGGTACTGAGGTGGAAGTGTGCGCAGATTGTTCCAGAAGAGAGAGGAGGCTTGAGCAAGAGGAAGAGCAGACCAGGCCAGAGTGATAGAGGAGGGGGAAGGGAGGGAAGATTATATAAGGTCTTGTTTACTTTGTGAGAAGTTTTATTCTAAGTAAAATGGGCAGCCAAGTAAAGATGTTTTTTAAATTTTAATACAATGATATTAATATACAGTCCACATTTAGGTTTTTACTACAGTCCCAGTATCCCAATAGTGTCCTTTAAAAAAATAAAAAAGAGTATCCAAATTTTTATTACCATTCAAAGAAATAACTTGTACAAGGGGCAGAATCGAATTTTATAGCATACATAATATTAAGAATCATCACTGAGCTACTAGGACTGCATTAAGAAAGGCTAAAAAATTTTAACAGCTTTATAATGCCATTTTATAATGCCCTCCCACCCCCACTCAGGATCCAATCAACTATCATACGTTGCATTTAGTTATCATGTTTTTTAAAAAACAGCTTTATTGATATAAAATTCACATATTATACAATTAATCCATTTATAGTATATAATTCAATAGCTTTTAGTATATCCACAAAGTTGTATCAACCATCACCAGAAACTAATTTCAGAACAATTTCATCAGCCCATAACCTTTAGCTATCACCCTCCAGGTTTCTCATTCCCCCAATCCTAGGCAAACACCAGCCTACTTTCTGTCTCCATACATTTGCCTACTCTGGACATTTCATATAAATGGAAGAATACAATACGTTGTCTTTTGTGTCTACCTCCTTTCACTCAGCATAATGTTTTGAAAGTTCATCCTTGTAGCATGTACCAGTACCTTGTAGCATGTACCAGTAGCAGATACCTGTAGCATGTATCAGTACCTTTTTATGACTGAATAATGTTCTCTTGTATATATAAATATATGTGTGCCTATATCTCATTCTATTTATCAAGTGAGGGTTAACACAGGGGAGTGGCCTGATCTGAGAGGCATTTAACAAGGCTCACTTCAGCAGTTGTTCCAAGGAACAGAGAATGATCAATTGTGCCAAATGTTGCTTTTAGGGAAAATTAGATGAGGTCCAAGAATTGACCAATAAACTGCTCAAATAGTTTAAGAAAGGAATTTAATTAGCAGAATATTCTGATACATAATTTATAAATGGCATTTTATGAGTTTTATGGGATTTGTTGCCTTTGCTTTGAATGATTAAACATGGAATGCAGATATAATAATTAATAAATAAGAATTTAAAATGGAATGCCAGACATGTAAAGGTACACAAACAATTAGAAAATACCATTAATTCACATTGATTTTTGATATCTTCTTTATGTTGCTGGTAACAGTTTTTTTGGTTCATGTGAAATACATTCCTCAGAATAATTATTCTTCTCTAAACATAATTGAACATTATGGTAATTACCCAAGATTTTATGCCAGCTTCCAGCAAGTTAGCCAAGAGAAAAGCTGACACTTTTAAGAAGATATTTTCAAAATCTATGCAGATCGGGTAGATAAAAGTTTGTTTTTGTTTGGGGGGAGTTGGTGTCATCTAAAAGAGTGTAGAAATTGAACCAAAAATTTAGAGTTCTAAAGAGATATCTCCTTGTGACATGCCATTAATTGGAACAACAAGGTCACCTACTCAAATCATTGGTTCCCCATTTGGCACAAAATCCATTGTTGACTCAAGGTTTGGTATAAGCACAAGCAATAGACACCAGGCTATCCAATTCTGGGCACGAGCAACTTCTGGGGCCTGCAAATCACTGGGGGAGTGAGCAAGGGGCAATGAAAACTAACTGCCAAAAATGCACTCCATGTTTACCGGACGATTCGGTGGGCGCGGTGGGATGAACTTTTAATGAACATTTCAGAAAATAAACACACGGATCATTGAACTTGAAGAGCATGCACCCAGTCCCCTCCACCGGGACTAAAGAGACAGGGTTAGTGAAGTGAGAACGCCGCCGCGCTGCCTCCTCTCCTTGGAATAAACGGGGCGTGGGGCTGGGGGCGGGGGCCGGTGGCTCGGACCGCTCCCCCGCGCCGGCCGCGGCACCGGCTGCGCCGCGCTCGCGCCGGCCGGGCCGGGAATTTGGAGAGGATCCCTGGTGGCGCGGCGGCGGCGGCGGCGGCGGCGCGCGGGTGCGCGTGTGAGCGAACGAGCGAGCGGGCGGGCGGGCGAGTGCGCCGGGTACTGGCAGCCGAGGAGTGGAGGCTGGGCGGCTCCGACTCCCAGACGCCAGCGCGACCAGATCAATCCAGGCTCCGGGAGCGAGCGAGCGAACGAGAGAACGAGCGAACGAGCGAGCGGGCGGGCGGGCGGAGGAAGGAGAGGCCGAGCGGCTCAAGCCCGGGCGAGGCGCGGGGAGGGACCCTGGGAGCAGAGCGCGGCGCAGCGCCCGGCCGGCCGGACAGGGGCCGCGGGACGCCGCTCGCCCGGCCACTCGTGCGCCCGCGCGGACGGGCGCGCCGCCAACCCGGTAAAACGAAACAGACCCGAACCCAACTTTCCCCTTCAGCCGCGTCCCCGCCCTCCCCTCTGCGTCCTGGGCTTCCCAGCGCCGCGGCTGCCTCCGCCAGGGCCGGCGCGGGGCGCCGCGGTCGTGCGGGGCCGCGGCGCGGGCTGTGGCGGGAGGGGGCTCTTCCCCTCGTGGGGCGGACCGCGACCCCCCCCCCCATGATGGCGCCTCCCGGCCGCTCAGAGGAGCGGACCTGCCACCGCGTCCTCCCCTCGCGCGCTGCCGGCCGGGCTCCCCTCGCGTCTTTGTTGGGTCTGCTCTGGGGAAGCGGCGTGCCTCGGCCCCGAGCCTCGCCCCCGGCCTGCCCGCGGCGGGACCTCACCGGCCGCCCTCCCCCGCTGCCCGCTCCCCGGCTTTCTCTCCCTTTTGGCAACCGGGCCGAGGCCCGTCCGCGCGGCCCGCGAGCCCATTGTGTCCCCGCGCCGGCCCGGGCGACCCCTGCGGGAGTTGGAGGGCGGCCGCCGGGGCTGCCCCTTCACGCGCCCGGCGCCTGGCGGAGCGGGTCCGGCAGGGGGGGACACCCAGCGCCCTGCGCCCCTCCGCATCCCACACGGGCTCCCCTCTCTGCCCCTACCAGCCTCCTTGGGGTCGAGGTCAAGGGAAGTTCGCACCGAAATTCCCTCTAATTTATTCAAAGGTTTGGCGGCGGCGGCGCGTAATTTTTTTTTTCCCCCTCTTCCGCCTACACCCCCTGCGTCTCCGAGTGTCGTCTCGTTCCTTTCCCTTTACCGGGTTCGATTGCCTCACTGCGTGTGTGTTCGTGAGTTCGCTGTTGAACAACTGTTCCTTTGCTCTGCTGCCTGTCTTTGTTAGTGTTTCTCGGGGTTGTTTCTGTGGCAAGGTGGGGGCGGCGGGTGTGGGAGAGACAGACGTGGGCTTGTTTTTCTAGCTGCTGAATATACATGCAGGTTTCACGGGAGAGCGTTTCCTCGATGCGCTTTAGGAAGGGAGGAGGGACAGACGCTTGCCAGATCTCACAACTACGGTAGCTGCGCCGCTTTTGTTTATTTGGAGGCGCATGCGATTGTTAATACACTGTGCAAGATACAACCAGTGAGGCGCTTTCCTTCTGAAAACCGAGGCCCGTCTCAGAGCCATCTCCCGAGCATCGTTTTCGTGAGTGCTGTCATAACCGACCTTTTTCTTTGCTCTCCTGTTGTCTTCCTTTCCATTGTAGTTGAAGTTTCAAAGTACGTGGAATGGTACAGAAGTTGCATGGTTACTGTTATGTCTTCCTGTTGCCTAAACTCTCAGCGGCTAAAATGACAGACTTCCTTCATTTCAGAACATCTCTTTTTCTAATTGTCGTGGATAACATGCCCACACTTCAGTAACACAATGGGAAAACTGTTCCCTGCCCATGTTGATTTTTCATCTTGTGTATAATTACCACTTTAAATTGTATTGAAGGTAGGTGAGCAGTATTGGAATCACTATTTATTAATAAAAAGAATCAGGACAGAGCTATTGTTCACCACCCTAGCATTTTCAATTGGCATAAATATTTTTGCAACAGGGTTATTCTGATGTAGGTGGCAGACCTAAATGTGATGTAGCGGTTAAAGTGTTTGTCTTTCTCATTTGCAATTATTGGATACTTCTGTGCAGGTGATGTACCGTTCGTGTAATACTGCAGTTCTTAGGAAACTAGGGTCGTGAGAGATGATTTTCTGAAGGTGGGTGATGCCAGGGCCTCTAGAAGATCCAGGCGGGATCAGGTTTCTTCTGAGGGTAGGGATTTGTCCTTGATTTAGTTTTGACCCCTACAATCATAGGTATGTAACCAAATACATTTTTCTTTTTGCCAGTATCCTTTGATTTTATACCCTTGAAGAGCTGATGATCTTTGCATTTTAGAGAAATGACAGTTTCTAGGCAATTAAAAATATTGACCTCTTACACCTCTTGGAATTTGAGTAATTTTATTTCTACTAAATTCAGAAAGCATTAAGAGGAAGTAAGTCTCATTGTCCCAACAACATTTATTACTTTAGTTAAAAACTAAGTTTTAGTTTGTAATTTTGATTTTTAGTGATTCTGGGTTAAAGATAAAATCTAATAACTCAGTAGATTGGGAAAAGAAGTAACTTGAGTGTAATTAGACAAGCATGTTTAAGCTGCAGTAGCCTACATAATCAAGGCCAAGTTGTGTGTGTATAAAAGATCTCATTTGTGTAGTCTTGCAGGGCTAATGGAGGCATCATTGAGGCTTTATAAATAATGTAAGTTGTGTATAATGTAGAGTCTCCAGAGACAGCAGAGAAAGCATCATTACCAGCCTTTTCAACCTGCTTGAGATCTTAAATTGATTTACAGCACTGAACTGGTGCAAAATGATACATCAGGATGACATGGGGTCAGCCTGTAAAAGTCTATGATGTCAGCCTATTAGTTCAGTCATCATAATTAAACCGTATTACAGGGGCAGCTAAGCAGGAGTCTGGCGTTATACTTCGGATATGGGTGGTACGTGGATTTCGTTTATAGTGGAAAGGCTGGTATGGGCAGGACACTAATGTTTCTGAAAAAGGGAAGAAAAGCTTACAGAACTATGAATTTCTGGAAAAAATTTCAGATAAATGCAGAGATATTTACTCTGGATTGTATAAGTAGCTTTTCACTTGGTAGTGGAAAAACAGATGCTTTGAAGGGTGCTGATAACTTCTGATTTGTACTGAATCATGCTTTTTGTGAGCTTGAATTTAACTTGGCCTTAGGGACCTTCTAAAATATCAGAGGACCACATACTTCTTATCTCTGATCCCTTTATTAGCACTGAGTTTGCATTGTATTGGTGTATCAGCTGACATGTTATTTCTTTAACTAGTCATGGTTACCAGGCCTCCACTAAAAATAAAGATATTTGAATTGAACATATGAACATTTCAGGAAAAGAACATTCTTATTTTTGCTTAGATTTCTCACCAATGCTTATTCAGTTTATGGGTCATCTAGGGTTGGTGGTGTCCAATAAGGCAGCCATAGTCGCAGGTAGCTATTTAAGTTGAAATTAACATTAAATAAGTAAAAATACAAATGTATTTCTCTGCAGTTGGCACATTTCAAGTGCTCAGTAGCTGTATATGGTTAGCAGCTACCATATTGGACAGTGTGTATATAGAATCGTTCCATCATTGCAGGAGGTTCTGGTACATAGTGCTGCCCCAGGACCTTTGCCTCTCTTCTCACTTATTATCTCTACTAATGAGTTTGTGGGGTTAAAGAGAGAAAGACATATCAATTAATTTTACTACTAAGTAGCTGTTCTTGTTAAAAAACAGTTTGGAAGTAACAGTTGAAGCTACAAGATGAAAGGGATTTTGCCATCATTAGTGTCATGGATCCTAATTTGATTTAGAGTATTAGGTAGAAGAAATAAACATAGCTGATTTTTTTCTGAACTTTTACTGGATATGTGTATGCCAGGCATTGTTTATAATGTTACTATCTCATTGAAGTCTCAAAACTTTCCTAAATGCGGTTGTTAATCACATTTTACAGGTAAAGAAACTGAAGCGAGAGTGATTCAGTGTCTTCCCTCAGGCTGCATAACTAGTGAGTGATTATGGTTTATAATCTTAGCTGGGATATGACCAAGGCAGTCTGACTCTAGAACCTCATTCTCAACTCTACCTTTTGGTCTTTCATCTAGCATACCCAAATATGCTAGATGGAAACATTGTTCTGCTGTGCCCCACTACGCCAGTATAGACGTGACTTTGCTTTTAATTTTTTAGGCCTCTGGACAAATTTGCCTTCTGTTGTGTTTTTCTGGGCTATTTTCTTCTGTTGTAAGTGTTTAAGAAAGGAAAAATAATGTTAATACTTATCTAAGCAGTACTTAATTTGAAGAATATATCTGACATAAAAGTAATGCATTTCAAAGCCAAATTAGTTTTATCGCTGTTTTTCTGAATAATTCCTTCCACTTGCCTCTTACATTTTCTTGTATAATCACAAATTGATACTACTTATGAGGAAAGTTCTAGTAGTTCAGTTTATCTGTCTAATCAAAATTAGTCTGTCTTGCCTGAGCTGCTAACCACTGAGCCTTGAGATAATAGTTCACTGCAAATTCCTTGGGGATTTTTTTTTAAAAAAAACATCTAATGTCTGCTTTTGTATAATATCTTTTATGATTCAGTTCTTAACTTTTTGGGATCAGGGTTATTTAAATCTAATGAAACTATGGATCCTGTATCTTCTCCTTGTTTCCAACCTTCTATCCAAAAATGCTTATATATCCTGGTGAATTTATGTGTACACTTAAGTACCCACATCGTATGGTCTTTCAGGTGAAGTGCATCCATGGGACTGCCTTGCTGAGTGCTTTCATAAACATTGATTTGTAATTGCCTTTACAGAGAATAGAGATATTTAGTGTTAAAGGTTGTTTTAAAGATTTCCTAATCTAGTTGGTCCATATCAAGGTGAGCAATCTGAGATGCAGAGAAGATAACCAGCTTGTCTAAATTCACCCATCTAGTGATTGGAAGAGGGAAAGCTAGGACCTGAGTCCCTCCTAGTGTGAAGTACCCATTTGTTTGTTTGTTTCCTATCATGCTCACTGTGTTCCTGAGGCTTTGGTCTGAAAATCTCCAGTGTAATTTAGACAGGAAAGGAAAGAATTTGGCATGATAATGACTTTTTATACCTAACATTGTTTGAGCTAAATAGGAATCAAGTCTGACAACCATATAGAGATGTGTGTTTGTTTGTTTTCTACAGATTAAAGTAGATTTTTGTTTTCATTCTGGAGATGGAAAAGCCCTATGTCTAATTTAATCAATAGGACCTTAGTAGAAAATGGGAGATCCAAGATTGTACACAGTTCAAATTAAATCAGGCAATTCTGACATACAACAAATACAAAATAAAATCTCTTTTGACTCTCAAATCGCATTCCTAACCAAAAGCTAAAGTTTGGGGTATTTAGGGAAGGAGCTAGGGAATATCTGGGAGAGAGTTGGACAAGTCTGAGGAGAAAAAGGATAATGTGGAGAAAATAGGTGTTAAGTCATAAAATGACTTTGAAGTTGATGAAATGTTCTGATACTTACTATGTGGTTTTACTTTCTGGTACCAAAATTTCAAGACATACTTTGATAACAAACAGGAGCATCTTCTCTTTGCCGCAAGCTGAAATCTCTTGACTTACTATATTCCTTTTCTGCCGTTGTCTGGTAGTACAGATAGTCAGCCTAATCTGGTGATCTGTCATCTAATTTGCAGCAGAAATACCTGAAGTATTTTTAACACTCTGCTGTAGCTTCCTTTAAAAAGAAAAGGAAAAAAAAAAAAAAGACAAAGATAAGTAACATGAATGCAGTTACTTAAAATCTAAATTAACACATTCATTTTTCTATGCATTATCAAGATGACATTAGTTTTAGAGATGCGCCACTAGTCCTATATGGAAAAAAGTAACATTTACAGTTGTTACTGGCTGACTAGCAGAAATAGGTGGGCTGTTTATAAAATTCATTTGCATAAGGGAAGCAGTCTTTGAGACAGAAAAATCCAAAACTTTCATAAACAGTTCAACTCCAGTGACTACATCAGAGTTTTAAGAAGGTAACTGGGAATTGTAGTATTTGAACAGTTAGCATCTTTGTAATTTCTGTTAGCTAAAATGAGGCTTTCGAGAAGACTCTCTCTCGAAAATAAAGCATCAGTTCCTCTGAGATTTGAGGAATTCCTGACCTGGTGATTCTCCCAAATCTCTTCTCTGTTCCTAGCATTCAGAAAAGGACCCCCGGTCTGCAGTGTGGTAGATTGGTTTCTTAACTAATTTTTTTTGGAACAAGTCTAAATTTAAAGAAAGAATGCATGTACATACAGTTGTTAATTATGTATCTATATGCTTTTGAGCTCAGGATGTAAATGAAAATTCACTATATTCTGTTTGGGAAGTGGGGAGTAGGTAGGGAAGTCTTTCTAGTGATTCAAAATATATTTTTATACATAATTTTTAAATACTTTATAGTTTCCCCTTAATTTTAGGGCTGCTGTACTATGGATATTTTCCCCTACAATCTGAGAGTGTTAAGGTATAGTTAGTCAAACTATTCATTTATTTTCTTCTCCTTGTCTATTTTTTGTGGTTTCTTTGTGGCATGCTTATGCAAAGTAGTAATATTTCAGACCTTTATACCTTTTTTTCCTTTCCATTTGAAACACTGCAAGAAGAGAAAGGGGAACTAATTTCCTTTCAACTATTATAATTAGGCATTAAATTAAGTCATTATTCAGTTGGTTAAATGCAAGATCTTTTGTTTAGATTGAAAGGAAACGTATCTCATTAATGGAGGAGGGATATTCAATATACCCTTGTTTGATAATTTTGGTGCAGTATTATAATAGTATATGCTTCATTTATTTCATGAATATTTATTAGTTCTAATAAGTGGAAAGACACATAAAAAATACATGGTGAAATAGGAGTAAGTACAGACAGCTCACGTGAGGACCACTGTGCTATGGAAGGATGTGGGTTTGCATAGGTAGAAGGGTGAGAGGCATTCTAGGCAGAATAGTGGCCTAGAAGACTTAGGAGATAAGCAATAGTGTTGAGTATCTCTAGAGCAGCACTCTCCAGTAGAATTTCTGCAGTGATGGAAATGTTCTATATCTGTGCTGTCTAAAGCAATAGCTTTAGCAACAATTGGTTGTCTAGCACGTATAATGTGGCTAGTGCAACTGAGGAACTGCATTTTTTTGTTTTAATGAATTTACATTTCAATAGCTATACATGGCTGTCATGTTGAACAGCACATATTCAGAGGCGAGTTGAGCTGCTCTGCCTGACCTCAGTGGGTATTCCTGATGGAGCCCCATCTGGTGGGGTGGAGATGCTCAGAAAGGGTAGTTGGTCTAGGAATTTGAGGACTTTACAGTACCAGAATGAGGAAGCATTAGGAAGTCACTGGAAGTGTTTGAACATGTAGTTCGGATGAGAGGGGAAGAGCCCAGTGCCAGGAGATTAGTAAGAAAGCTATAGATTTATTTATGTGATGATAAATCTCTGGTAAAGATCTGTATGGAAAGAGAAAGGTTTTTGTGGGCAGAAAACCATGAAGACTAGTAATTATATGGTTATAGAGTAATGAAAAAGAGAGAGATCAGAGGTTGTCCTTAAGTTTCCAACGTTGGTGGCTGGAAAATTTATAATGCTATCACTTAAGAATAGGGAAGACTGGTTGTAGAAGGAATAAGGATTGTGCAAATAATAAATTAGAATTGACATGTTGAGTTTAAGGTGGGATATCTAAGTAGAAGTATTCTACAGGCAAGTTGGAGGTATATAACTAAAGTTTAGGGAGGATCTATGAGTCTTACGTGTAGACTCTGGGTAGTCATCTACAGAGTATTCTGAGAGAAGCATGGAGAGAGAAACAGCTGGTAGTTTGATTCTTTCATTGGATCCCCAAATTAGAAATTGGTAGAAGGAAGAGGCCAATTTGAAGTAGACTGTTTTGAGAGGCTGTTGGAGGAGATGAAGAACTGGAAGGTGTGGGGTCAGAAGAGTGGTGAAACAAGGAAGCCATAGGAAGAGATTCCAGAGGTGGGTTAGGAGAGGGAAATGTATGGTTCAGGGTGAAGGAGAAAATGGGAAAATCAAGTGAATACGGTTTTGCAGAAGAAACTGAGCATATTAAGAAATGAGAAATAGATTCTTATACTCCCTCAAGTGACTTATTTTTTAAAATAGATGAGACCTTTTTGTATTCAAAGATTGAGGGAAAGAAGTCTATAGACAGAGAATGGCTTTGGAAGAAACACTATAGGTAGTGTGCCAGGGAATCTATGAAGAATTCAAATTCTAAACAGTTGGTGGGAAGCCTAGGGTGAAGTGTGATGAGGCTGTATAGTACACTGGGTAGTTGTTACTTTCTAGTGTCACTTTGTGGCCTGGTAGGTTTAGGCATAGCAAATAGGCTCAGAGAAAAGCTCTAGAATCAGACTGCCTGGGTTTAAGTCCAAGCCTAACACTTACTTGCTTTATAACTTTGGGAAAGCTACCATTAACTTTTGTAGCTCCCTCATCTGAGAAGTAGAGATAATAGTATCAGCCTCACAATTGCTTAAAGATGAAATGAGTTATACTTCCATTTTTCATCTAATCTAAGATTGTGCTAAGACATTATTTCATGTACTACTGAGGGAAAAAAAAACCTGTGAAATAAGACATACCCATTAATTGTAAGACTTCCTGGTTTCAGAGGTGTTAAAATAGGAGCAAAAGATGTATCTTAGTGAAATATAGAATACATAAAAGATTTAGCATAAGAATTGGCACATACGCCGGGCGTGGTGGCTCACGCTTGTAATCCTAGCACTTTGGGAGGCCGAGGCGGGCGGATTGCTCAAGGTCAGGAGTTCGAAACCAGCCTGAGCGAGACCCCGTCTCTACCAAAAATAGAAATAAATTAATTGACCAACTAAAAATATATATACAAAAAATTAGCCGGGCATGGTGGCGCATGCCTGTGGTCCCAGCTACTCGGGAGGCTGAGGCAGTAGGATCGCTGAGCCCCGGAGATTGAGGTTGCTGT